GACTTGCGTACACGAAATATAAGTGAAACTGTCGCGTAGGATGTTTAGAAAACTGTAGTATTGTATTCTATGTCCCGAATACAGGGATCGATTATTTAATACACGGTTTCGAACACGGAAAACAAAGTTTTCTTTTGGTAGCTCGTAGAGCTCGTTAGAATACACGCATCGATCTCGTTACATATTAGGAAGCATATGCGTGATATATACCAAACCTGTACAATAATCCAGAAACGACGTCTTCGAAATGTGAAACCACATCCATCCTGCGTTTCCCTAGGAATGTATAGTTAAGTATGTCGGAAGCGTCAACCGAACGAGTTCGCACGTTTTATATCGCGACCGCGACAGACGGCATTGGCATTAAGTGCGCGCAGCGATGTTGTTTCACAAATAAATTCGTAACTTTATTCTTTTTTTTGTCGATATTTGTTTACATAACTTTACGGAGATCAAACGACCAGTCTAAGATAGAATACAATACCATCGCAAAATTAACTGACGTACAAACTTTAGCATATGTGTCGCACTAGAGGAACTAATATATATATTCTAGCAATATGAAAAAAAAGTATATAGATATTTAAAAAAAGGATATAGGAAATTAAATGGTTAAGAACGAGTGAGGTAGCGAAGTGATGCAAACAGGCATAGGTGAACAGACTCAGTTTTATTTCCTGTATCTTTTCATACAATTAAAATATTTTTGAATAGAGCTTATTTTGACAGCTAAGTTATAGAGAAATACATTTCTTAGACTAAGACGGAAATTTTTCTTTTAAATAACAGAGTAAACATATACATTTATACCTTAGTAAGCAAACTGTAAAAATATTGCGAAATTTTATAAACGTATACATTTATAATTGCATTGCACAAAATTATATATATGTATATGCTTAAAAAAATGCATAACGATTGTTTTACAATTTTTGACAAACAGTATTTACAAAATTTTATTTCGACAAAACTGTTGCGTTATGGGAAATCATTTTAATGCACTAGGTAAATCCAGTTGTACAGCTAAATATAAATATACTGTTNAAAATGTATTTCTTGTTCGTGAACTTCACAAAAATTACTGATTTTAAAGTGAAATCAGACATAATTCTTGATATACAATATAACGTATTTTACAAGAAAAGTGGGTAGAAAATATACAATAGCATAATCACAAACAATATCTTGGTTATTTCATTGAGCCAGTCCATCCTGCAACATCAATAATAGTAATGCACATCTTATTACAGTTATATCACATAGAATATGTAACGTTTTATCATTCGTAGCTTCCGGAAATAAAATTGTTTGCTTCTGTATAAATCTAAAATAAACAAATTTCTAAGAGCTGGCGGTAAAACTCATGATTATTATTGAATGCCAACAAAGTTTTCACGGTGTGACCTAAGTTGTACCTACCAAACGTCACAAACGATCAACTATAGCAACATATTTTCGCGAATTTATGTAAAACGTTCCTGTCAGAAAATGCTAGATACACCTTTTTATCAAAATGTTCTACAGAAAACTATTGTTTCTCAATGCAATATACACAGAGAGTGAAAAAAACTCCACTTGAAAGCAAGAGTGGAGCTTGTTTTTACTAAATCTTACCTTTTACGATGACGTCTCGCTTGCTCCAAGCGACTCATGTTTTCATTAAGCAAGTAAAGTTTACTGCCAATAATGGCGTTTCTGAAATAAAAAGTAACAATTATTATTATTCAAATAAACTACTTCTTCTATTTCTAAAATAAAGAATAATTCTAAAGTCAAAATAAAAATACTTGTTTGCTCAAATTGCAAAAGTACATGTTTGCTTGCGTGAGGTCTAATACGCACCTAATATAGTCGTCGATATTGAAATCTATCAAGTCTCTATATCCAAAATCAATTTTGTCATCCGCGCTTAAAGTCTCAAACAAGCTTATAACTTTTGAGTTATTAAAGTGCCACGAGTTTCTTACAAAAAAAGACAATGCGAAAAGTGATACGAATATTTTTCTTTGCAGCTTTAGTAACCTAAAAAAATAAAACTTTCTACGTTACACTTCCACTTATAACAATAATTTCGAATGTGGCGTTAAAGTAACTTTCTAAATAACACTTACATCGGAGGTAAATGGACTATTCTCAGAATAGTATCTACTAGAACTGCCGGCAACATATGTAGTATCACTACCAGTATGTAATATAAAGAATAATTTTTTATCCCAATCATATTTGGTTTCCAAATAATCCTCTCAAAAGGAATATCACAAGCGAAACGAAAACCTACGCGTAATAATTTGCGTAGACTCAAATTCAGTATGTCCTTGGTACAGCAGTTATAAATATGAATGCTCGTATCCTCAGCGATGCTGATTCGTAGAAAATATTATGAGTCTTAATTTTCGATAGTAAAAGAATAACTTCAATACTAAAAAGTGGTTTTATCACATACGTACTTTCTCATTCCCCGTCTCCAACCAGCGATTACCGTTGCTTTTGTTACAACATCGATTGGTACCCAATCTGGTACTACAGAAGAGTCCATATAAGCTACGCGCAAAAGACCGGTCGCACTACCAATTACTAAGCCCATTGGGCCATTAAAATTATCTATCCAACCTGGTATTGGATCGCTAATTGATGGTATTACAATTGAAGGTCTAATAATAACGCAAGGCAACGATTCAGAAAAATCCTTTATAACATTTTCTGCTAGTCGTTTTGTAAAGACGTACGTATTCGGCATAGGATGTATATATCTGCAACAATTAATTAACAAGAACATATTTTACCAATGACAATATATACACGACACAACGCACGTATCTCGTGTGCATGCGCGNATCAATAATAGTAATGCACATCTTATTACAGTTATATCACATAGAATATGTAACGTTTTATCATTCGTAGCTTCCGGAAATAAAATTGTTTGCTTCTGTATAAATCTAAAATAAACAAATTTCTAAGAGCTGGCGGTAAAACTCATGATTATTATTGAATGCCAACAAAGTTTTCACGGTGTGACCTAAGTTGTACCTACCAAACGTCACAAACGATCAACTATAGCAACATATTTTCGCGAATTTATGTAAAACGTTCCTGTCAGAAAATGCTAGATACACCTTTTTATCAAAATGTTCTACAGAAAACTATTGTTTCTCAATGCAATATACACAGAGAGTGAAAAAAACTCCACTTGAAAGCAAGAGTGGAGCTTGTTTTTACTAAATCTTACCTTTTACGATGACGTCTCGCTTGCTCCAAGCGACTCATGTTTTCATTAAGCAAGTAAAGTTTACTGCCAATAATGGCGTTTCTGAAATAAAAAGTAACAATTATTATTATTCAAATAAACTACTTCTTCTATTTCTAAAATAAAGAATAATTCTAAAGTCAAAATAAAAATACTTGTTTGCTCAAATTGCAAAAGTACATGTTTGCTTGCGTGAGGTCTAATACGCACCTAATATAGTCGTCGATATTGAAATCTATCAAGTCTCTATATCCAAAATCAATTTTGTCATCCGCGCTTAAAGTCTCAAACAAGCTTATAACTTTTGAGTTATTAAAGTGCCACGAGTTTCTTACAAAAAAAGACAATGCGAAAAGTGATACGAATATTTTTCTTTGCAGCTTTAGTAACCTAAAAAAATAAAACTTTCTACGTTACACTTCCACTTATAACAATAATTTCGAATGTGGCGTTAAAGTAACTTTCTAAATAACACTTACATCGGAGGTAAATGGACTATTCTCAGAATAGTATCTACTAGAACTGCCGGCAACATATGTAGTATCACTACCAGTATGTAATATAAAGAATAATTTTTTATCCCAATCATATTTGGTTTCCAAATAATCCTCTCAAAAGGAATATCACAAGCGAAACGAAAACCTACGCGTAATAATTTGCGTAGACTCAAATTCAGTATGTCCTTGGTACAGCAGTTATAAATATGAATGCTCGTATCCTCAGCGATGCTGATTCGTAGAAAATATTATGAGTCTTAATTTTCGATAGTAAAAGAATAACTTCAATACTAAAAAGTGGTTTTATCACATACGTACTTTCTCATTCCCCGTCTCCAACCAGCGATTACCGTTGCTTTTGTTACAACATCGATTGGTACCCAATCTGGTACTACAGAAGAGTCCATATAAGCTACGCGCAAAAGACCGGTCGCACTACCAATTACTAAGCCCATTGGGCCATTAAAATTATCTATCCAACCTGGTATTGGATCGCTAATTGATGGTATTACAATTGAAGGTCTAATAATAACGCAAGGCAACGATTCAGAAAAATCCTTTATAACATTTTCTGCTAGTCGTTTTGTAAAGACGTACGTATTCGGCATAGGATGTATATATCTGCAACAATTAATTAACAAGAACATATTTTACCAATGACAATATATACACGACACAACGCACGTATCTCGTGTGCATGCGCGAATGTAATATAGTACTTACTTTGCGGTAAAAATTTTTAAAATTTTGTTGTCAATTTTCTCAGCAGTGTGGATCGTCTTCTCCCAATCGACGTTTTCCAAAGGATAAAAAACCTCATCTATGACGGGTTTATCACACTGTGTAAATGCCGAGCTTACGTAAACTAGAGCCTATTTTGATTATGTAAATTAAATATAACGGTTAGAATTAGAATGTTGTCAAACACACAAAGGTATTAAGAAAAATGTACTTGCAAAACAATATAAATCGATAAAAAAACTTACTACTATATTTTTCATAGTTTGGGCCAAAATACAAATGTCACGCGTCGACCGTAAGTTTGTAAAAATCGCATCTTTCAGACTCTCGTCAAAGCGGACAGAAGCCGCTACGTGGAATATTATCGAGACTTTTTCACTTAACATTTTCCTGTCCTCTGGCAATAATCCTAAATCCTCTCTACTCACGTCTCCGCTTATTGGAATAATCTTCTCAAAACTGGTTGGCCGCTCGCGCCGTAATAAATCAAAAAGCTTGTTTTGTAACATTTTCTTTAACCTGTCGTTGATAGTTTGTCCTTTTTTTGGTCGAATCAGTAAAAATATTTCCTTAATATTTGGACAACTTCTCAGTAATTTTTCACATAGCGCTTTTCTCAGGAAACCTGTGCCACCAGTGATGAACACACTTCGATGAGAGTAAAAGGTGGGTATAGATATATTAGCGTATTCACTCATATTGACTAAAATATTTCAAACGTTTATAAAGTAGTATTTGATAGATACTGAGAAGTTTAAAATAGGTAGATAGTCAGCAAAACTCACAAATGTTGATGTGATCAAACCTAAGCACGTTCTTTTCTGTCAAAGTTTTTGTACGTAAATGAGTCTAACTGAATAGTCGGCTTATTTATAGGAAATGATGAGATCGTTTATAAGAAATGATGAAGACTTTTTTTCATGATATGCAATATTCTAAAAGTTCGAAGAGCAGTCTACTTTACATTTCGATATTGTGTTTAATATTGATTTAAGTGTATGTGTGTGTGAGTGTGTGATTTAAACTTATAATATGTTCAATATTCAGAATTTTGATGTATAATAGCGTGATACCGGTAAACGCGCAGAAACAAAATTGCTTGAAAATCGCGCACGAATAAACGATTACACAAAACGTTTTTCTATAATCGGGTTCAACTACAAGTAAAAAACTTTGAGAGATAAGCAAGTTGCAATCTCGTTGTGCCAGCAAAATTATAGAACAATAGTCTAAAATCGAAAAAGAAAGATTTTCTTTTAAANAACAGAATACCATATACACTTAAACACATAAGTCTTTCGTATATTTGTCTGCCTACATTTCTACGTTTAGAAGTTTGTTATTGATGCCGTTCACACAATCAAACATTGCTATTGAGAAATATTATCACGGTCACGCTATAAAAAATATATTAAAAAAGATTTCTCTAGATGAGAAATTAATACCTACGTGAATAGAGTATTTATTCATGTAAATGTTTTATGTTGAATATGCAATAGTTGAAGTGATAATAACCGATAGTTTTTTCTTTTCATTCTAATGTGTTAGAACTTCAATAGTATTTAAAGAGGCTTTCCTCACATTTGTATAAACAACAAGTATAACATTAAGTTAAAAATATTTTGTAATACTGATATACAAATATGTTAGTTTATATGAGTTTAACTGAAAAAATGCAAATCAGTGAAACGTTCTGTAAAGTATACATTTATGCTATATTATGTAAATCTTGTATCATTTTAACCATCAAAATCTATTTCAAAATTTTATACTCACAGATTTACGTGATTCTTACACTTCGTCTAGTATTACAAACTAATTTAAACATTCACTTTTATCAAATAAAATTTACTTATCTCAAAAAATAAAAAACACTCAATTCCTTGATTTATAATCTAATGTATCTATGGTTCAATCATAAACGTGAATACAAGATGTAGCATAGCATAATGACAAAAATCAGTTTGATACTTTTATGAAGCCAGTCCATTCTGAAACATCAATAATGGCAATCCATTAACACTATCTTATCGTTTTTATCACTTATAATATATAACATCTTATCAAATATCACGCAGTTTTCGCAACAAACTCGTTTGGCATTGGTTTTGTAAAACGAATATTAACATGCTTTTGACAATACAGCTCATGAAAATGACTAAATGTCAGCACTTCCGTTATGACCTGTTGCTACGAACAACACAAAGACCGATCAAAGTGCGCACGTAACTTTGCAATATCATGTGAAAAATGTTTCTATCCGAGAATGGTATATGCAGTATTTTATTATAATAATCTGAAGTATTTTACGCACTAATATTGTTTCTTAACGAGAGACAAGCACAGAAATTTGTACAAAACACTCGAAATTGATACAAAAATAGAGTGACACTTTTGCAGTGATCATTTTAGTCGTTTAATCTTACGTTTTACGATAACGTCTGAGTTGTTCTAAGCGACTCATATCTTCATTAAGCAAGTAGAGTTTAGTACTAATAATGCCACGTCTGAAATAGAAGATAATAGTTACTTATTAATCTAATTTTTAAACAAAGAATCAATTTTATTGACATAGCAAGTATTATTCTAATAAGATTGCATACGTAGTACATACATACTCGCATGCGTGAGCTCTAATACGCACGTTGACATGACATCCATATTAATAAACTTAACAGATGCGAAATAAAACGTGGTAGAATAGGGCTACAGGCGAAGGTCCACGTTAAAAAACCTAACGCGCTATTAGTGGCACCTCATGGGTAGTGCGGAAGACCACTACTTTCTTCGTAATATTATTATC